ACCGAAATGACATGAGCACATACAACATTTTCAATTTTTTTCGTATTTCCGTGCGAATAATAATTTGAAGGTAAAATATATATGTTCAATTAGCAGCCTGTCTAGCTAAACTGATTAAGTGCAAAACTCTCTGTTTTACCATATATTCATATTGCAAAATTGCGGTTCAGCAGTGTGTGATGGAAATTTTTGGACACAAATATTTTTCCTGACGTAATATAAATTTGTCATGAGGGCTGTAGATTTTTGTGCGGTTAACTCATTTTTGGCTTGACGAGCATTGCCTTGACAAAAGAATTAGCAAACGGTATGCACCAAGAGATCGACGCGAGTTCTTTCATCAGATGTTCCAGGCTCACTGTAGATAAACGTGACATTAACAGCTTGAGTCGAATTAAGGTTTCATTTACTTTGAAATGAAGCCCACAGGCAATTCCCAAATATCATAATAAAAAAATTTGGAGGATTTTTATTGTTGAAAATAAACCAAATTTTTTTTTGAACACTAATATAACACAAGCATCTTCTGAAAAACTGAGGTGCGGTTTCGTGGATCTTCAGCTTAACAACGGCCAAAGCAAACGAATTGCCAGCTGCATAGGTGAAGAATAGGACTGTGAATTAAGAGCTGTGCCAAATATTCCAGATATCCAGCAGCAAGATATTTGCCCAAATTGCTAAAAATTGAAATATTTTGGGAAAAGCAGTTGTAGGATGTAAATAGCCAAAACCGATCTTTGATTGTGTGCCGAGTTTCGGGGTACCAAGGCATGACATGCCACTTGCGAGGCATTTGAAACTGTGATTTCAGGTGAGTCCCTGTCTCGCTGATGGACGCAACCATACAGATTGCTGCTTGAAGAAAGGTGTTCAGCACGATTGCTTGAAAATTTGTGGTGGAGTGGCAGAACCACTTACAATGCATTCCCTGCTGTGCCTTAATCTGGATATTGCTGCAATCTACCAGTGCTTACGTCAGGGCTACGGTAGCGTTTTGTGCAAAATAACCTTTGAGCTTTAAATTAATCGATTCCTTTGGAAATGTACATTTTGGTTATTTTTTTTTTTTATTATTATTATTATTTGGACTCTCCAGACGTATAATAATTTATATAAGCAGCATGTCAAGCTTTTTCCAAGACTAGACGATGGCGTAAATTAGGTCTGCCACTGTCTGCTGGCCAAAATAGCACCATTTCTATTTTGTTTTCATTTGCTTAAAGATTGTAATTTATGACAAAACTCCCACTTTTGTCCCCAGTTTTATGCTTTTTACAGTGGATCTTGCCGCTGGCCAAATTCCACTTTTTTTCTTCCCAGCTGTAGACTGGCTGCGTTTGCCACGTGTAAAAGAGGTGACTAGTCACTCCTAGCCAGAGGTCATTCTCTGTTACATTTTTTACATTTTCCTAGCTGCGTTTTGTCTGGTTATGGCCACGAAGCTTCGATCGCTATTTTTCAGATACGCGACCGTCCGCTCCGCAGAATGTAACAGTATCGAAAGTGACAGAAGATTCGGTTGAAGTAAGTTGGTCCGATCCAGCCGCTAACGCGCATCTCGTTATCTCCTATTCGCTGTTTATCAGAAAGGATGATCGCATCTCAAACTTCAAGGAGGTGCTTTCTACTCTGCTAGTGTCATCATTTCAACTGCAGGCGCAAATGCACCTGTGGGCAACTTTTTTTATTCTAAAGTAACTGAGTGCAATAGGATCAGTGTGCGTTTTCGATTTTTATAGATAATTGAAGAAGTGCCTTAACAAAAATCGTTTTGAGTACGTTACTATCC